CTGACAAGAAATTTCAAGAAAAGAGAATTATAAACCAACATCCTCCTTAAATTTACATTTTAAAAAAAAGAGCCCAGAAGAATTAATCCAGGTATATTTTAAAAGCATAATTCTTACATTAACAAGTGGGATTACCTCAAGAACACAAGGCCAGCTTAACACTTAAAAATCATTTGATGTAGGGCTGGGGATTTAGCTCAATGGTTCCATCACCTGCCTTGCAAGCGCAAGGTCCTGAGTTCAATCCCTGGTACCAAAAAAAAAAATCATTTGATGTAATTGATCATATAACAGCCTAAAGAAGGAAAACTATTTGATCATTTTAATAAATGCAGGAAGATATTTGATGAAATACAACTTCCATTTATTATAAAAATTTCCCCAGCATCCTAGAAATAGAGAACAATGAATTTTTAAATGTTATAAAGGGAATCTGTGAAAAACTTCACACCAAAGCATACTCACTGGTGATATACTATAATGTTATTTTTCCACCATAAAACTGCAAAAAAGGTAACAGTACTCATCCTCATCACTTCTGTTCAGCTTTATACTCAAAGCCAGGCCAGCACCATAAGGCAAGAAAAAGAAATGAAAGCTGCAATTGGAAAGAAAGAAGAAAATTCTAATGATTAAATGTAATAATTCCTAGAATTAGTGTGTTAAGTTCAGCAAGATTTTAGGATACAAGATCAAATATACAAAATTCAATTGTATTTGGAAAGTATAATTATAAAAATTTTAAAATGTCATTTAAAATAACAGGAAAATACACTAGGAATAAATTTAACAAAAAGCGTGTGATATGTCTACATTGAAAAGTCAAACCTTTACTGAGAGAAATTAGAAAGGTCCGCATTAAATGGAGAGACATGCTTCTCTTATGGATGAGAAGAACCAACATTTTTAACATTGTCATTCTCTCCAGGTTGATCTATGCATCCAGTATGATCCTAATCAAAATCTCAGCAGGCTTCTTAATAGAAATTGGCAACCTGTTCCTAAACTTCACATGAAAATAATAAGGACCCCGAAGAGCTGGTCTTATAAAACAACACAGTTTCACCCCAAAAATGTAAATTCACATGAAAATAATAAGGACCCAGAAGACCTGGTCTTATAAAACAACAACAACAACAAAAAGAAATGTAAAAACATGAATCCCCCAAATAAGGCTTGTAAATGCTTAAGGAAGCACTACTTGTAGTGGTTCTAAAGTAGAAATGACCAAAATATCCATCAACAAGATAATGGATGATTAAGTTGTATTCTATTCAGGTGTGGGGTGCATGTAATCCCATGCCTGTACACACGTGTAATCCCAGCACTCTGGGAGGCCAAAGTAAGAGGACTGCAAGTTCAAGCCCAGCCTGGACAATTTAGTGACTGAGCAAAACACAGTCTCAAAATATAAATAAATAAATAAATAAATAAATAAATAAGCAAGCAAGCAAGCAGGTTAGGGATGTAGCTCAGTGCAGAGGATCTGAGTTCAGTTCCCAGTACTGAAAGAAAGAAAGAAAATAAAGGAGGGAAGGAAAGAAAGAAAAAAGAGAGAGAAAAAAATATTGTATTCCACCCACACAATGGAACACACAACTCAGGGGCACAAAAGAATGAATCACAGGTGCACAACAGAGGTGATTACCACGGACCTTATTTAAACACACAAGCCCAGACACCACACACTTTACAATTCCATTTTTAGGCTTCCTAAGAAGAGCTAATGTAAATCTATATTGATAGATGTCAAGAAAAAGAGTTGTCTTTGGATGAAGGTGACACAGATGGACTGGTAAGAGGCATGAGGGATATTTTGGAGGTGATGAAACTTAATTTGAGCGGCTGTTACATGGGTGTATACAACTGACAAAAGCCAACAAATTGTTCATCTTTATTTTGTGCAGCTTAAACCTCAATATCAGGAGGAGGGGGAGGGAGAGAAGAGAGGAAAAGGAGAGAAGGAAAGAAGGAAGAGAGAGACTTGGAAAGATCCTAACCAAATGCAATATATAGGCTTTTTTCACAAACGAATTCAAATCAACCAACTATAAAAACCTGTGTAGAGACGATCAAAAAAAAATTGATCATGAACCGAGTAAGAGAAAGTATTAAATAATTGCTGTTATTTTCCCTAGGTCTGAAGATGGCATTGCTGTTGTTTGTTAGTAATGTATATGGATGAATATTGGTGCAATGATATGATGCCTGAGATTGCTTTAAAATGTTTCTGCAAAATAAGTAGACAGGGAGAGGGAGGGAAGATGGCAGAGCTTTCATTGCTTTGTGTCTGTTTACAGTTTTCCCTTAAAAATCTTAATAACAAAATGTAAATTAAAAAATTAACCATAGGTCAGGGCATGTCCCTCTTCTGTCCAAAATTGATCCAAGAGGCTTTTCCCTGAGGAAAAGCCAAAATCCTTGCCATTTACATAGAAATCTATTAGCGGGTCATGCAATCCATCTAGTGCATCATGATTAGCATTTTTATTCTGTGAAATAGAATAAAATGGCACAGAAGAGTAAAGAAGAAAAATAATAGAGGGTATTGCGTGTATAATAAAGATATGTATTGCTATGCAAAACGAAGTAAGTGTGTGTGTGCACATGTGCAGGTGTGTATTTTTTTTTAGTGAAAAAGATTTGAAAACCAGCCCCACATAATCCACACCCCCAAACCTCATAGCTCCCAGCCTAACTCCCCATGCCTCACTCCACTCCTGCTGTGCCTCCTCCTGCCAGGCCAGGCCCCCAGGCATCCAGGCGGTCCCTCTCCGGTGTTGGAAGACCTGCTCCAATGCTTCCCCAGCGCCTCATGCAGTGCTGCCTGCTGGCTCCTTTGTCAGTGTGACTGTGGTTTGAGGTGCTTTTCCCAGCCCATCTGGGGATGCAGCCCTATGGTGCTTACCTATCCTGTCGGCAGTGGTACCTCAAGACATAGAACATCATGTGGCATGTTCTGCACACTCAATAAATGTCCATTGAGTGAAGAAAGATGTTTGAAGCCTCCTTTGTGCCTAGGACTGCTCAGAGCTGGAGAGTAAGCATTAAATGGGGGCAGCTGTAACCTGGACCTGGGGGAGCAGAGTCTACAGGAGGCTGACACACACCTATGTGACAATGCGTTTCAACTCTGCAGAGCATGGCCAGGAGAAGCAAGAGGTCCTATGAGTGGATAACAGAGGGACCTTATAGTGTGTGTGGGCGTATATGTGTAGAGCATGTTGTGTGTGATGTTTGTATATAGGGTGTATGTGTGCTGCATGGTATGTGCATGTGTTGTGTGTCATGTATGGTATGTGTGTGCATGTATAAGTGCTGTGTGTGTTGTGTATAGGTATATGCGTATTTGTGGTGTATCTGTGTGGCAAATGTGTATAAAGGGGTTGTGTGCATATGTGTGTAAGCCTATGGTACGTGTCTGTGTGTGCTTGTAGACGTGTGTTGCAGTGTGTGTATGTCTGTGTGGTATGTGTACAGTAGGTGGTGTATTCATGTAAGATGTGTGCATGTAGAATGTATCTGTGTGTTGCATGTGGCAAATTGTGTAGTGTGTGCCTGTGTGGCATGTGTGTATGCATAGTGTGTGTGCTGTGTGTGTGATGTGTGTATGTGCTCTGTCTGTGTGGCATATGTACATGCATTGTGGTGTGTACATTTTGTGTCTATGTGGTGTGTGTGTTTGTGATGTGTGTATGTAGTGCATGTGTTGTGTGCATGTGGGGTTCCTATGTGTAGTGCATGTGGTGTGTACATTCACATGTAGCATGTAGTAGGTGTGTGTCTGTCCATGTGTGGTACATGTATGAATGTGTGTGAGAATGTGGCTGATGGCGTTGGGGAATGATTTCCTCAAAACCTTCCTTGAGAACAACATGAAAACAGACTTACAAATCAATAATAAACAGATAAATAATACAATTTAAACTGGTCAGAAGATCCAAACTGACACTTTGCATAGGGGACATCTCACAACTGACAAGGTGCTCAATGTCTTTAACCAACACTGGCCAGGATCTAAGCCAGCCAACAGTGGCAGAGGTGGGCCTGGTTTGGGAGGACCAGGACCATGACTGCCTTTGGAAGGAGCCAGGGCGCAGCCTCTTTGGGAGACTGATGGGTCTAACAGAGGTAAATATGCACCTGTACTTTGACTTACCGGTTTTACTCCTATGTAGTTTTAAAATATGCCTCCTTAAAAGGCTTTGTATGCAAATACTCACAATAGTTGCAGTAAAACTCCAAACTAGAAACAACTTTGAATACCTGCCAGTAAGAGAAGAGGTGAACAAATGAAGTACAGTATAGCAACAGAATAATACTCAGCAACCAGAAGAAACAGTATTAACACACACACAGCGCCCGCGCCCGCGCACACACACATGGCTGAATCTCAAAGGCACCTTGTTGAGTGAAAGAAGTCACTCACAGAAGAGCAAACACTGATGATCCTGTTTATATGAAGTTAAAGAATAGGTAGAGACAATCACCTGGGGATGAGACATTGCCTGAAAAGGGACCCAGGGAACTCTCTCATGTGGTGGGAGGACAGAGAGATTGGCCTTGGGAGGAGAATGCTCTCCACAGGAGAGCATTTTAGGCAAAGGAGCATCTTTGGGAAGCCCACGAAGTGGGAAAGAGCCTTGTGAAGTGAAAAAGAGCCTGGGGAAGGCACCAGGTGGGGCTAGGGGGCTGTCACCACCAACAGAGCCCAGGGGAAATGGTTTGGATGCTTTAGGCAGTAGAGTCAGGGTTTGGAAGGCGCTTTTTGTGAGTTGGGAGATCTACACATGGTTCATGAAGGGGAGCAAGGAGCTGGTGGTGTGGTGGGCAGACCGGTGGAGCTGGTCCCATAGGTCATTGAGGGAAAACTACTGTGTCACTTATTCTTGCGATGTAACAAACCACTCCAGAATTGAGGGGTTTAAAAGAACCACCCTTTTATTAGCTCATGACTTTGTCATCTGGACTGGGCTCAGCTGGTGATTCTTCTGTTGGTCTTGCTGGTGGTCTCCAGTGGTGGGTCACCTGCAGTCTGGACTCATCTCTCTCTCCCTCTCCCTCTCCCCCTCCTTCTTATTAGCCATAGAGTCTCTCCAGCAGGATGACTGGGCTTCCTACATGGTGGCTCTGGGCTCCAAGGGCACAGAGAGCAGCTGGAGGCTTCTTTCCAGGGGAGCTGGGTGCTCTCACACGGCGTTGGTTGTATTGTGTAGCTTAGGCCACATCACCAGGCCAGCCTTGATTCAATGAGAGGTGACTGTACAAAGATCATGTACAGACTACCAAAGCCTCTTACTAACGATGTGACCTTGGTCAAGTCATTTAACCTCTCCCAGCTTCATTGTTCTCATCTTTAAAAAATGGTAGCACTAGCCTCTTCCCCGCAGTGTCCCTGTTTATGTAGATTAAAGTAACATAGGTGAAGAGCATGGCAGGGTAGCACAGGGTAACACCCATCACCTTCGTTGTTGCTGTTACTGCAGAGATGGCTTCACTGTGCCCAGGGCACTGTCCAGGACTTCCCCAGGTCTTGCTCTGCTGAGGCAGGGTCTGCTTCCATTCAACACTGTGAGCACTGGGCAGTCTGAGAAGTCTCTTATTTCTTGCCAGAATCCACTGCCCACTCAGAAAAATCCATCAGCCCTCAGATGCGAGGAGAGGAGCCAGCCAACACTGAGCCCCCTCACTTCCCTCCCACTCCTTTGTTTTCCATTTATTAATTAAATATGGTCAGCTATTTACATGGATAACCGTTACCATGCCAACACAGAGCATCTCGGAGTGACAGTATACTTTGCTCCACTCTGGGAAGCTGCTCCTGCAGCCTGTCTCTCTGCTCCCTGTCCTCTGTCCTTCCCTCAGGTACTCCTCTCTGTAACACCTGTGTCCTGCCAAGCAGCCCCTGAAGAGAGCAGGACACACGCTCCTGTAGATTTTGTTTAGCACCCATCGTTGGGAAAATGCATAATGATGAAAAGTTACTATGAATTCAATAATGCTTTTAAAATGAATGTACTTTAGCCATGTTTTAGCCCGGTCACCACGAGGCATCCTGCTGCAGAGAGCTGAGGGACATATGATTGATTCTTATTCAGGCAATATGTGGCACCCTTCACAGATTCAGAGCCTGCTGTTCTGGGCCCTATCCTTTGCTGTGATTCTGGGATTACAAGATGCTCTGCTTCTAGGTCAGTGCCTGCTACTCAAAGTGGTCTCCGTGGTCTCTATCATGAGCATCTCCTGTGAGCTTATTAGAATTCAGACTCTTAGCCCCCACTCAGACTTATCAGAATCTATATTTTACCCAGATCTCTAGATGATTCTTATGTACATTAAAATTTCAGAAGGCTGCTTTAATAGAGATGGATAGAGTCACCGACTGTCAGTCAATCAAGGGCCCAGGCTTTGGAGCTGGCAGTCTGGGTGTGAATCCTGGCTCTTGAGTCACGTGACACATTGGAGCATGCAGAGAGTCCTTCCATTTGTCAGGCCCTGGGCACACAGCAGAGATGCCACAGAGACAAAGCCAGCCTGGATCCTTCCGAAGTAAACAGGGATTCATCCGTTCATTCTGCTCATTTAGCAGGTTCCTACTCTATGCCAAACACTGCTGTACAGAGAAGAGCATGCATAGTGGAATTTGACCCAGGTGGGGAAGTCAGGGAGGGCTTTCTAGAGGAAGTGGCACTAGCGTGGAGAGTGAAAGACACATTAGAGCTCACTGAGAGAAGAGTGCAGTGGGGGTCGCAGAAGACAACCCAGTCAAATGCTGAAAAGACAGATGTGTTGAGCCTGATAAATCCCCATGTACCAAGCAGTCACCAAGGACAGGGAGGTAAAGAGGGAGACTTTTTTCTTGGGAGTGATTGTGCAGAAGCCAGGGTGAATGGTGGAGGCGGGAGTGGGAGGCAGGAAAAGGAGAGGTCAGGCAAGGTCACAGTCTTTGAAGCAATGTGCCTGGGGACAGGAGGGAGAAAGAAGACAGCCGCTAGTGTGAAGCTAGTGTGAAGCGGAAGGCTATTTATTCTTTGTAGCCAGGGAAGACTCTGCTTTTGATTCGCCGTGGGACCTTGGGCATGTTGCTTATCATCTCTGAGGCCAGTTTCTTATTTCTCTGTCAAATGGGGATAGTAATAGTAACAAAATAAAAACCAAACTCACTGTCTTGATTATGTTGGGATTTCTCTTCAACGGGGGGTCGGGGCGGTGGTGGAAGAATGTCCTGATCAGAACTGCTCCAGGGTGACAGAGGAGACCCCAGCGGTTCTGGTGTGGGGAGAAGCCATCTGCAGAGCCAGGAAGCAGCTCTAGAGAGAGCAAAGCAGATCGGGGAAGTAGTTCTAGCAGCTGGCAAGTTGGCTGGGTGCTGAGACCTCTGGGGCCCATGCCAAAGGGGATTACCTCCAGCCCTTCCCCCAAGTCCCCAGCAAGCTCCTCTGCTCACACCACCCTGCACTGGAGTGGATCCTCTAGGTGGGGGTCCGTGAAAGCCCGCATATTTCCATGTTGGATCCCATGCCAATCAGTCAGACAGGCAGCCAGGAGGGCAGCAGCCCAGAGTTCTCAGCAGTGGTGGGCAGAGCTTTCTGAGTGGCATTGGTAGAGAAACTTAAGGTTTCAGGCTGGGTTTATCCACTTCCTCGAAGAACAGGGAGACCCCAGCTAACTTCTAATTAGACATGTTATGCAGAGGAGCTGCAATATACTGCACAGGCAATGATACAAAGTAACTTTGTTCCCTTTATTCTTCCTGCTAGATTAACAATGCACATTAGCACCTGCTCTGTGCCACCTTGGGTATTAGTTACAATGTGGAAGGAAACAGACATGAATCTCAGTTCTGTGGAGCTTACATTGTAGCAGAGGGATCTGTACAACAGACAAATGGAAATACCTAGTGTATTACCTGATGATAAGAGCCAGGGAGAAAAATAGGAACTATTTCTCTATATTGTTATGAAGGAGGGGGAGAGGGACTGCCACACAGAAAGAATATGGCTGGGGGAGGTCAGGGAAGGCTGGGTGTCCGGTGTATGGACACCTCAAGAGACACGAAGGGACGAGGAGGATGTGCCCTGAGGACATGTGGAGTAAGACCAGAAAGAGCTTAGCAAAGGACTTTCACCCATCTGGGAAGATGAGACTTACTTGGAGCTCAAATTCCAAAACAGGAGACTCCCAAGGGCAGCAGGGGGCTTATGACGGAGCTGTTCAGAGGAGGTGGAAGTGACCGTGGTTCAGAGTCCCAGGGTTGCCCAGAGAGGTGAGACTGAGCTGACTGGGAAGCTGGGAGTTTATATAGACAAGAGGGAAGGAAAGGGGTCACTTGAGCAAAATTATGAAGTCACAGCTCCTCCTCAAGACAGCACAAACATCACCACTTCTGAGAAGACTTCCCTGACTCCCTCCTCCATCAAGATCCGCAAGGCTCCTTTCTCCTGCACCTTGTACCTGTCACTGTGTGCACACCTGTGCTTGTCTCATTGCATTGTGTTCTTCACTTTCACATGTGCCTACTCCGGGAGATGATGCCTTTCGCTAGGGTTTGGTACTGGGAACTGAACCCAGGGACTTTACCCTAAGCCACCTCCCCAGCCCTTTTTATTTTTTATTTTTGAGACAAGTTCTCCTTAAGTCTTTAAATTGCCCAGACTAGACTTGATCTTGAGATCCTTCTGACTCAATCTCCCAGAATGCTTGGATGACAGGCCTACACCACCATTCCCAGGTCCAGATTTGTTTAAAGGCATGGACGGTAGGTGGGAAAGAGGGCTGGGAACGGAACTGGAGCTGGGATTTGAGGAAGAGTGCTCAGCTATGCAATGAATAGTTTCCAGAAGGACAACTAGGGTGGGGACAGGACTTCAACTAGCGGTGAGGCCAAGGGTCCTGGCATGGTGGGGTGGCGCTGGGGGTGGGGAGACCTGTCCTAACCATGACCAGAGAGAACAAAGAAGGAATTGAGGGAGAAGAGGCCTTAGCCTTAACCACAGAGTGTGAAGGACTAATAACATTAATAACAGCATAGGCCAACGGCTATCAGTATCCACTAGTGTCAGTGTGGGTACCTTTAATGGAACCCGGAAACGTGTGTACAGTCAATAATTTTGATACACCTGGCAAACGGGACCACTGCTGCTATAATATGATGCTGGATTCCGAGAGCTATAAAATAATGATAATGATGATGATGAGGCTGCATTGTGAGAGCACATTAAAATCAGATTAATTAGTTAATTTAAAATAACAACACCCATTAAGATCATTAGGAATGCCTTAACTCGATTTAGCATCCCAGCTGTAAACTTTTTATGGCTTTTCTCAGGAAACATCTAGCTCAGGTTTGTAATGTGGAGATGAGGTCCCTTGTTTCTTTCCTTCATTCAACAAGTATTTATTGAACATCTTCTAGGTGCCACATGTTCCAGACCTGGGGATGGAAGGAGGAACAGGTCAGGGGCCTGTCCTTCAGGGCTTGCCCTTCAGCAAGGGAGACAGCCCCGGGAGCAGTCAGCAATGGCCCAGGACTGCAGATGAATGCCAGAGAGCACAGACACCACACTGACAGCCTTTCTGAGGGTCATGCTGGAGACCTCAAGAGGCTGGCAAAACCCAGAATTAACACGCACCCGATGCTGGCCGGCATGGTGATGGAGGAGCCCTGGTCGTTCACCCTGGGTTCCACGTTTGTGGATTTGTGTTTCCATGAGCTGGAAATTCAGAGGTGCACACATGAAGGGGAAGGGCTGGGACACAATTCTTAACTCTCATCTCTCTTTACACTAACTATTCTCAAAGCTCCAAAGTGGATTCAGAGCCTTGCAAAGAAGGCTGAGAAGGAAACTGAAGAGGCCACAGTCTCTACAGTCATGGAGAGAGTGGTGGACAGGAATGCCAGGATCCTGCATGGCAGGGTGCGGTTAGCTGTGTTTCTCCTGGGCCTGTTTCCCAAATTTGTAGTCACTTTTTTTTTTTTTTTTTTTGTAGTCACTTCTTCCTGCCAGACTTCAGAAGTGAAGGAAGTGGTCCTAGGTACAGGTAATAGCCAGTGCAAAGACCCAGGAGTTGTAAAGGATTCACAGATTCCAAGCCTGTTGGAGATCAGCGTTACTGAACTCTGAAAAGGCAGAGATTGGCCCAAGATGGGACCAGGGGAAGAGTTTGGACCCCACCGAGAGAGCAATGTGAAGATACCAAAGGGTTCTCAGTAGGGTACGAATGGAACAATAGTTACATTTTCTAAAATAAATGCAAATATTTCTCAGCCTCTAGTTGCTGAGAAAGACTGGGTTGGACATAAACCTCCAGACTAGGCTGTCCAACAGAACTTCGGTGATGATGGCAAACTCCATGTTTGTGCCGTCCACCGTGGCGGGCACTCATTCGTGAGGCACCGAGTTCAGGTAACTCATTTAAAGCCCAGGTGTCCATGGCTATCCTATTGGACACAACTTCAGACCCTTCTCTGGAAGTGAGGGACCTGGAGGCTTTTATCCCACACTCCTGTTGACACGGGTCCCTCGCTCTGCCCTCTAATTTCACTAGGGCTTAGTCTGAGATGCAGGATGGATGGGTCCAAGGGAAAGTGCACTTTTCAGATGATTTTTGTTCCCATTTTGAGGTCACTTTCCAGAAAAGCTCTACCAGTGTATTCTTTCACGTCAGCGACCACAGTGTAGGGCCATTGCCTTCTATGCTCACTGACATTGGGTGTTATCTTTTCTTCTCTAGCCTCCAGCATGAGGGGTAGAAGTGGTGGATTAGGGAGCTGACTTCAGAAACAGTCTCTGGACCCCCTTCTTACCTCCCTGCCCTTGACCAGGTCCATTGCAGCCCATCCATACCCCGAAACAGATTTTCAATAATAAGAGTAATACTAATAATAACAGCAACAAAAATAAGAAGAAGAACCTGTGACCTTCTCGGGTTCCCTGGGCACAGACCAGCCCTCTCTGCAGACACACACTGTTGCCCTGGGGAAGAAGGTGAGCTTGCATTTCCTTTTCCTTCTTGTGCTCCATTTGCATCTTATCTTTTCCTGGCATTAGTTTTCAATTAACAGCCCAATCCTCTGGATTACAGTTTTTCATGTACCAGGATTATTAGTAGCAAAAATCCTAACAATAAATGGAAAATATTGCCCATAGTAGTCCCTGCTGCCCAGAGCTTCTGCCTCCTCACTCGGTATAATTAAAAAAGCAACCAAATAGGCAAATAAAAGCTTGGATGCCCCCTCTGGCCTCGAAAAGGACAAGAGAGGATCGTGGACCCAAATATGCTGTTAATGCTGCACCAGAGCCACCAGCAAATATGGAGGAAAACAAATGAAGCTCAACTACGAGGAAGAGCCTAATAAATCTTGCCCAAAGTGGCTTTCACTTCAGGGTCTAGGCTGAAACGGGGGGGGGGGGGGGGGGGGATGTTGGAGCAGCAGAGAGGGAGGGAGCCAGGAGCCAGGCTCTGGAGGAGGACTGTGGCTCTCTCTTTGCCTGTGGTCCAGGGCAGGCTTCTCAGTCCCTCTTGCCTAGCATTTCTGATTCCACTAGGTTTGAGGCCCCTGGGACAGCCTGGCCCTTCATCCCTCCAAGCCCATGAAGCACACTGTTCACCTTCTTCAGATCTTCCCACATTTCAGTCTGACCTCCTGCCTTCCCTCCTGCCTGTGTCCTGCATTTCCTGGGCTCTGCTCCTCCTCTCTCCTAACAGCCTTTCTGTGCTCCCACCACTGTGGTCTGGTAGTTGGTGTCCCTTCCTTTATGCAAAGCAGCTCTCCAAAGTCTCCCCTCCAGAGGCTTTCCTCCTGCAGCCCACCCTTTGCAGACTTTCTTCATAGTGAGTCTCTCTGGGGTTTTGAAGGAGCCAAATTCACACTTGAATTCTGCCCTCAAGTAACTCTAAGGACCCTAGGCAAGTCAGTGCCTCTTCCTGGTCCTCAGTATACCCATCTGCAGAAGGAAGGGCAGCTTCTTCATAGCAGTGTTTTGAGGATTAAACAAGGAACTAGATGCAAAGGGCCCTACACAGTTAGGGATGTAGTAGGTGTTCAACTAAAGTTAATCGAATATACATTTTCCTTTGCAGACGCCTGGTTTTCAAAGAACATTTTGGTTCTCATATTGCAGAGAGCATTTTCTTTGTCCTTTATGTGTGTCTCGCCATCAGACTGGTGTGATTTTGGTTTCTCTGTCCTTCCTGACAACAGCTGATATAGGGCTGTCCATGCTGGAGCTGCCAAATTCTTGACGTTAAGAGAGAAGATGGGTAAATTATTGGGATATGCTCCTTTCTCCTCCTCCCCGGGAAGTTGCCTAACCACACTGGCTGGGACTCCTTGCGAGTTATTTTCAAGGATGATCAAAAAGATTGTATGTCACTTGCTTCTGGTCTGCAGGGCTGAGATCCCCCAAGTCCTGTAGATAATAAAAATAATTCTGTTTTGACAGCCTTTTGGGCTAAGCTTCTGCTGTCCACCCCCATTACACACAGGATCCCCTACAGGGTGGGCTTCCTCTACATCTCAAAATGCTCATTCTGCCTGCTGCAATTGCATTGTGGGGGTCTCTTAACCTTGGCTAAGAAAGCTGAACACAATCTAAATTTCCAACAATAGGGAATCTTAAATTATAATGCCCTATGCTCATTTATGTTATATTTTCAATGCAGAAAAGCAGGTTCCCAAACAGTAGGTAAGTAGGAACTTATTTTGATTAGAAAAAAATAAGCAACTATATATGCATGAGTTGAAAATTGTCTGGAAGAACATACACCAAAATGTTACAGTGATTTTTTATTTCTTCATTTTTTTTTCTGGGTGGTGGGCTTACAAAGGATTTTGATTTCCTTCTTTGTGTATTTCTCTAATTTTCTGATTTATTTACAATGAACATATATTTCTTCTGTCTCAACTAAATAAACAAATAAAGCAAAGCACCACAGGCCCCATGGCCTTATTTGCATACATTTGTATGCCATCCCTTCCAATGCCATCCATCAAACTCCTCTGTCAGACTTCAAGAATCCAAGGAGGGCTGGGGATTTAGGTCAGTGGCACCATGCCTGCCTCACAAGCACAAAGTCCTGAGGTTGATCCCTGGTACCAAAAAAAAGAGTCCAAGGGCCCCTGCCTACCACCATCATTGGTGGTTAGGAGGCCAGGATGGCCAGGGGCCCAGCCCCCTCAAAGACCCTGGCAGGTCCCATCTGAGATCAGGAGCCTAGCCTCTCCCTTCCATCCCCCACCCAGCATCCCTG